TGTGTAGCTTTGGAGCCTGTCCTGGAACTAGCTCTTGTAGACTGGGCTGGTCTTGAACTCACAGAGATCCACCTGCCTCTGCCTCCCAAGTGTTGGGATTAAAGACATGCACCACCACTGCCTGGATTTTGATATTATTTATGCTTACTAATGTTTAAGAGTTCTAGTTTATGTAAAAATTATGTTAAGGAGAGCATATTACTCTTAAATGATATCAAACAAATACAAGCTGGAATTAAATAGTAACAAATACCCAATTTGTTACTTTCTGCAATTTACAGAGATCACATTCATCATCAGATTTTGTAAAGAAAAAAGGTGTGTTGGGGAGAGAGAGAATTCTAAAATGAAAACTTTCCTATTTCTTTTATGCTCTGTGGTGATCATTTTTGTTGGCTGAGACAATTGTCTATGTAATAATTGTTTAGGCAGTTTCAGTCAAGGGAAAATAGTTTATACCCTATGTTAGTACTTCAGTAAAATTATTCCTAGTAGAGTTCCAAGAACTTGCAAATACCAAAGGACGTCATTTGGAGACACAAAAGGTAATCCATCAAACTCTATATAAAATCTGAAGCTTCTAATGAACATATTCTCAAAGACTATACTGTCAAGTACCTTCAGTTTGTTTCCTTCACTTTTTCTTCTACTTGATCCTATATGCTTACCGAAGTTCGATTCACTAAGAAAGTGTGGAGGATGGCTTTGCAGAAAATCCCGAATGCTTGTAAAAGTTTTCCTCCTGTAATATGTGCTGTGAGTACTTAAATCAACTATGCTTAAAACTATGCAATAGGAACAAAACTTTTTTATAAAAACAGGATAAAGTTAAGTTTAAGTGAAGTAAGTGAAGACTTCTGTTCAGTTGTGAAAGATGAAAACAATAGCTTCTGAGACAATAACCAGAAGCAATAGCTTCTGTAAAACTAAGTTATGCCCCTGATTTTAAAGAAAATATCCTTTCCTACTAAAGAATCAGCCTTTTATGAACATAAAATATTAAATAAGATAAAACAGAACTTTTGGCTGAAAATATTTTCACATGATTTTTTTTTTTTGCAAAACATACTAGTGCAGTAAATTTTAATAAAACATTCTTCCACATAAAGAGACTTCCCAGATACCTAAAGTACATATGAAAATACAAAGGTCTCAACTATTTTTAAATGGAAGTATTTCTGAAATATGTTTCCCCACCCTCTGATGGTATATTCACCATAAGGTCTTTTTCGTTAACTGAGGACTATTAAGATTGTTTTTGTTTTGTTTAAGCCGGGTGTTGGTGGCACACGCGTTTAATCCCAGCACTTGGGAGGCAGAGGCAGGCGGATCTCTGTGAGTTCGAGGCCAGCCTGGTCTCGAGAGCGAGTGCCAGGATAGGCTCCAAAGCTACACAGAGAAACCCTGTCTCGAAAAACCAAAAAGAAAAAAAAAAAAGATTGTTTTTGTTTTGTTTTGAGACAGGGTCTCAGTAGTGTTGGCTGGCTCTATAGTAGAGTTGGAACTCATTACACAGACCAGGCTGGCTCTGAACTCATACAGATCCTGTAGGCACTGCCTCCCTGAGTGCTGGTACTAAAGGTGTGAGCCACCACATGTGGCTGAGTACTATTCGGAACATTATTTCACCTTTTAGGTCACAGTGATCTTCTCAGAGGTATCATGTGACAGAGTTCTGAAATACTTTCACTCTTGCATTAAACAACTTCAGAGGTCTGAAGTTTTCTGATACTTCCAACATATCATTCCTAACAGCATGTAAAATGGCTACCTGCTGAATCAGTCATCATTATTTATACACATTTATATTAACAGTTTTAAGTACAAAGCAAATGGTTTCATGATAAAACCAAAGTTTTTTTTTTAATGATTAATTTTCTTAAATATTTGATACCTTCCCCATTGATCTATTGGCATATAATTATGTTTCCATTATGCCATAATCCAATTATAAATGCCAGTTAAGTAGGAGATTATCTATTTAATAAAGAACAACATGTAGGACTTTACCAAGTGAGAGCATATATGTAACACTCTCATGTTGCATTGTCTTCTTAATAATGAAAAATCCAGAAAATTAGTTGATCAATTATTGTTAGGATATATAGTAAAACTTAACCTTAAAAATCTATAGTCTGATAACAGTTCTTTTAGGAGTCTTGGTAAGACTAAAGAGAATTCGGGTCTGGTATATGTTTTATACTACACATAATTAAAAGTCTGTTACTATGCAATAGACTTCCACTAAAGATATGTAATGAAGAATATGCCAAAAAACTACCAGTTAGAAGACAATCAGCATACTGAGTAATGTATAACACTATACTTGTTATAAACCAGGCAGAGAAAATTAATCTTCTTGCCCCGATACCATCTTTTTGTATCAAAAGTGAAATTAGACACATGGGAGAAATGAAAGAAACAATGCTTCTATCTTTAGCTGTAAATTTTCATGTAATTAGGAGAACAAGATTTTTAAAAACTTTGGAAAAAAGCAGGTATAAATTTTAATGCTGACAATAATAGATAGAACTTTTTGATAAACACCTACCGATTTTTTTCTACTGTTTTCCAGATCTTTGAGTTCATTCTCGATTTTTGTGATTAATTCCCTGAGTTCATCAAGATTAGTGCAAATAAGCTAAAACAAAACACAAAAACACAGCTTGATAACACATAATATAAAACACCAAAAATGTGGTAACAGAAATTGTTTAACATACACTGAAATTAAGACTACTTCTCTGCAGTAATAAAAGCAAGGAAAGCTCCAGTTACTGAGTTATTTACTTGTTATGATGTATGAACTCCAAGCTTCATATAAAATAAACTAAAATTACAACATTGGTAGTCTCATTCTACACCTCAAAGTTGGCATTATAATCCCATTACTTTTTTAGTATTATTAACTTTGACCCCAGAATGACAAAGATCTGGAAACTCATTAGATTTTAAGGTTATTTAATCATCTGTAAGAAATCCTTGCACCAGGCAGTTTGAGCAGGTGAATTGTAGTCCCCTGAGAGTGGCCATTATCCCTTTGCTTTGGTTTGCTAACTATATATTTCAACAAACTTGAGTTATTGCTGCTGGCAGTGGGACTAAAGATCCAGAACCACGTGTAATATAAAGATATGAACAAAACTAAGTACACCATCTTTTCATGAGTTTAATAGCTTTTGCTGTTGCTGTTTTTTGTTTTTGTTTTTTTGAGAAAGGGTTTTACCATGTATCCCTGACTGGCCTCAAATGTATGACATTCCTGCTCAGCCACCAGGTGCTAGTCAGACATGTGCCACCCTGCCCAAATGAGCTTAATAGATTTTTAATAAAACCATCTTTACAAAGGGTATCTATTTCCTTCTGTAATTGTGTGGCTCGTTTTATTTTACTTGGTTAACTCTGGCAAATAACCCAAACAATGAATTCTTAGTTATTAACTGACCTAGCTAGGCTTAACTACAGTTTTATACACTGAAGCATCAGAAATACTAAGAAAAATATTTGTTACTCCATTTGGTTCCTGTAAAATTATATTGAAATTTTCCAATGAGTTTAATATATTTAACCCTTTTCCTAAAATAATTTAAGCAATTTAAGAACATCTAAAGTAACAGAAAATTCGGAAACAAAATTGCATCTACATAGACAAAAAATTTCAGACTCAAGAAAATCTTGATGTTTATACCATATAACTTAAAATATGCCATATATTTATAACTTATCACCAACCTTTATCTTTTTTTAAAAAAGATTTTATTTATTTATTACATATACAGTCTATACAGTCTTCTGCCTGTGTGCCAGTAGAGGGCACCGGATCTCATTCCAGGTGGTTGTGAGCCACCATGTGGTTGCTGGGAATTGAACTTAAGACCTTTGAAAGAACAGTCAGTGCTCTCAACCACTGTGCTAATTACACTCATTAATGTAAAGTTACTGGTTTCTTAAAACGCATACACTTTCTTTTATTAGAAAATTGGACAAAAGTAACAAACAAAAGTGGGTCACACAACAAGATACATGCTAGTTGTTATTGAGTGACTAAAACAGAAGATAGGAAATGCTTTAAATTTGGCTAAAACTATCAGAAATTCCTAAATACATTTATCTAAAAAAAATGGCAATATGGTTCAACCTAAGTGATTAAGAAAAATTATCACAGATATATACCATAATTAGTATTAACAATTACCTTCTAGAAATATCTATAAAACTTCAAATGCACTGAATAAAGCAGGGGAAGTATATACTTAAGTAATTCAAATTTAACAATTTCAGGACTGGGGATGTGCTCAATGGTATTTTTGTATTAAATACAAAAAATAAAAGTAATTTCAGAGTAAAAAACACTACACAGTATTGTAATGGGAGAGTGTAAATGCTAGTTATTGGAAATCACACATTCAATTTGCTAAATTTGGTTATGAAAGAAACGGTTGTCAAGCAGTAGACTAGCCAACTCGGCAAGTAGTTCTACAACTAGGAAACATCTTCAGCTTCTATTGCATCTATGAATCTATAGGGCGACAGCCTCTTTCCAGTAGGTTTTAGTGAGCACTCACTGCAGTGTGTAGTTACTACTGCTGTGTCAGATTTGTCTTTTTTTTCACTGAACTTGGTGTATTGGCTAATATCACAGCATAGATTTTTCACTTATTTATATGGCAAGGCTCAGAGCAATTTTCCTTATATTTTAGGTATATCACTTAAGATGGCAAGAGGAAGCTTTATATGTAGCATGTAGAAATTTAGAGGAACAATGAAGGGATATATCCAACAAACTAAACACATCCTAAAATCTTTAAAGCTCTTTAATTATCAGTCATGACATTGGCAAATAATTATATTTCATTTGCTGGAATATAGCTGAGGCCAAAGCATTAAAAGCTATATGAAGTAACTCTTCTAAGGGCTTACCTAGTTAGTAAGCTGTGTTAAATTAACTCTTCTCAAATTCTGTGTGCGTAAGAATTGCAGGAGAGCCTTGCTAGTTTTGGATTTAGTATGTCTCACACTTGACAAGTTTATAGGTATAGTCAGTGGATCACATGTACTTAATGGCTGTGAACTGCAAACCAGCACAGCTACTCAGACACTAAAATATTCTGCTATGTAGTTAATGAACATAAAAATTCAAAATAACTAATTTCTGAATTTAGGGGGCAGGGATTTTTAGGATAATGATCTTAAAATAAATTACCTTATCTAAGTTCCGAGTGTAATTTTTCTAAGTTTGAGGCTCAGAAGATTTTTTAATGATATTTATCTTGAAGGTATATTAAAATAACTTAACATCTACATAATAATTTACAACCTTTGCTGCTGTTGTGGAGATAGAATCTCGCTACATAGAGCAAGATGCCCTCAAACTTATGTAGCCTAGCTTAGTCTCAGTCTTCCAAGTGCTGGGGTCACAGATATGTGCTATCACAACTAGGCCCAGCTTAGCTTATACTCTTAATATGCAAATATATTCTTTATATCTCTATATACATAATATATACAATATATTAAATCATGCTAAGCTACTACAAAATTTTGGAGTAAAAACATAGTTTAATTTATGCCAACTATATGTCACATACAATTCAATTCCTACTTTTTAAAAAAGGAAAGTCTTCAATTTCAGATGGTGATTCTATGGAAACTAGAATCAACACAGTCAAAATTCACTTTAGTAAGAGGACAGATACATTTAGTAAGAACAAAGAAAAGCATCTCATTAAATCCCTTTCTTGTTAGTATTAATTTAGAATGTGCTTCCAAGACACAGGGCCTCCTGGGTGAAAGAGAAGACAGCTGACACTCTGAGAGGCTTCCCTGCCTCTTAGTTTCCTTACAATATACACACAAAATGAAACCAAAGCCATCACTTCAGAGTCCCTAGTGCATACTCTAAATATGAATGGGAAGATATTTTCTGATACAGAATTTTATAGTGTACATATAAACATGTATTCTCATGAAGCAGCTAAAGGAGGCAAATTTAACTTCCAGTGTTTAACAAGTCAACAAACAAAAACACTGTCAAAGAAATTGAGGTCAAACAGGCTTCACCTTTTCTTAGGTCATTAAGACTTAAAAAATTTAATCCTTTAAACTGTTTCTCTCTAAGCATATTTTCTATCAAAGATCAGCTTTTTGGTAAGTAGGTCAGGTTTTATAAAAGCAATTTAATATTTATGCATCAAAGTTTTATTTTCAGTAATAAGAATGGGTATTTTAGTTTAAAATGGCTACTATTAAAATCTTACTATTTCTACAAAGTATTTTTTATGTTCAATACTAATAAATGAGATGCTAAATATACTACCAGTACTTTGGGGAAGAAAAAAATTCATTTATTAGATAATAATTGGTATTTTAAGGTTCACCTATTCTTATTTTATGTGTATGAGCGATTGCCTACATGTATGTATATCACACATGTTCCTACTGTCCTTGGAGGCTAGAAGAGGGTGTTGGGTCCCTAGGAAGTGGAGTTACAGATGGTTGTGAGCCACTATGTAGATGCTAGGAACCAAATCTGGTTTCTTTGAAAGTACAGCGAAAGTCCTCATAGCTGAGCTACCTCTCCAGCCCCTTTAATCTCTATTTTAGAAGACTGTTTCAAGTTCTGTTCATGAATCACAACATAGTATTCACATTGCAAACTAGAAACAAGAGCTACCTTAGCCCAATATAGACTCACAAGCAAGACAGCTATACCCCACACACACACGGGGCGGGGGGGGGGGGGGGGGGGAGTTCCATTACCCCCATGCCTTAAGAACCAGGAAAAGGATTTTATTTATTTTGAACAGCTCAATCTAACAAAACATGTACTTTTGACCTTAAATTTCTGAGTGATAAGCAAATGGTCAATAACTGACTAGAAGTATCACTTACAATGTTTTCCAACTTTTTTCCATGAGCCAGAGTCAAAAATACATTTTACATGTTGACATGCAAGCATATCAACACATATACACAGAGATAACACCAGTTTCATAAAACAATATATTCAATTATACATATTCATGATATTGTGACATACTGAATATATGATGTACTAATAAATTTTTTTAATATTGATAACTTAAAAAAGAAAGTATGGATTTCATATATTACTAATACTATCTGCAACTGTACAAAGCACTATTTATGCAGTCTGTGTTACTATTAAATACAAAAGTCTATTCATTAATATAGAAGAAAGGAAAATACTAAAAATGGTTATTTTCTGTAGTAAGAAATTGAGGGAAAAATGAGTGGGAGAAATAACAAAAGCTAGCATGGTTACCAGTGGAAGCATAAAAATATATTATTATACCATTACATGTTACAAGCAATAAATGGCAGGATGGCATCCAACCAAACAGTAAGTTACATTTTTATTGGATATTTTGTAAAAAGGTTATGCAAAAAATTCTAAAGAATATAATTTATCATAATGTCATTAAAGTTGTCAACTATTATATGTATATGTGTGTATATATATACACACATATACAGACATACATATATATATATATATATATATATATATTTCCTTTGACTATTTAAAGATACCTGTTTTTTTATTAATTTTCAACTTCCCCCAAATAGGATTTTTACTGAAAACAGATTTATGACACTGCTACATTGTATTTTACTTGCTCCTTTATTTTCATAACTACTTGAGACCTACAAATTCAAAAGTATCACTTTTATTTTATGAGCTTATAAAACTTTCTGGAAATGGACTGGCCACAATATTACAAAGAAAATTTTTTTAGGAAAGTGTCATTGTTGAAGAAAACACTTAACTGGGTAAGTAGAAAATAAAAGCATACTTCCTTATAATGAGGTTGCTTACTTTCAATATTAGCCCTTCACATATGGCAACAAATTTCTTTGCAAAAATGTTTAAAGACTTATATTTAGCCTTTACTGAATATTCTCTTCTAAGTTTATTTATAGCGGAGAGTTAAAATACCTGTTTTTCAAGTTAATCAGTCCACCACTTTTATATTGGTTAAATATGTAAGAATGACTTACCAGAGTAATACACCAGAGTAACATGAGGCTTACCAGAAAACATTACTGTGTATAAGCCATGACTTTTTTATTTAGAAGATTTTCATTTACATATTTATATTTAAGAAGAGAAATATGTATACATACATTTCCATTAAACTACATCTGCAAAACTTAGTATAGATTAGAAACTAAAAATTTATCAAATTTTACCAAAGATTAAAAAAAATTACATTTTTTGCCTACTTTAAAGGAAAGTACATTGTCGAAAACAGTCATTAAAGTATTCAGCCATTCTCTCAAGGAATGACACTGAAACAAAAATTAAACGGAAGAATTTGGTGACAATGTTGAAACATTTACCTGAAACTCCGGCACAGCAGGTGACTTTGCGACAGTTTTCCTCTTCTTTGTGATTGCTTTTTTAGATACGGATTTTTTTCCTTTCAAGATTAAAAGAGAAAAACTTCATAATGCTGTTTACAGCACCTCATTAACAGAAACCCAATTACACAGAGCCTTGAAAGTTAAACTGTAACTAACAGATGGCTGCTAGTAAGTCAAGTGAAAATAGTGAATCAAACAAGCCTCAGGGAAAGCAAATATTAAACTGTAACTAACCGTGACAGACACATTAACAGTGCTGCTTCTTTATATAAGATCCAAAACTATTATACTGTTCAAGGTGACACAATAATAGTGGCATTTATTAAAAGGAATAGGCATAAATGTCACACACAAAACTACTGCTCAGTTAAAAATCTACATTTGCAACTCACAAGAGACTGAAAAGAACCTTACCTTAACAATGACTTCTGCAGTCAGGAACCTGACTAAGTATGTTATCTGAAGATTATGGACCCTCAACAAAAAGTGGAAACCTTAGTAACATAAGGATGCCTTCCTTTAGCTTTGCCATTTGTTTAATGGACTGCTTTTGGCAGTATTTGATACCCAAATTTTTAAAAATGTAATTAACATATCCCTTTAATGTACAATTAGTACTTTGTGTACTCAGAAATCATGGTGAAAAATAAACCTCATCCTTAAAGAATCCAATTTCAAGAACACATCTGAAGTATATATCTATTTCTTTGCATTTAATGTCACAAAATAAAACATACATAAATGCACTTTTGGCAAGGAACATGCTAAAAATTTTCCTTACTTTGTTTTAATGTTGAAGATCTCACAATGTAACCAAGGCTGGCTGGGCTCAAGGTCACAAAAATTCTCTTGCCTTAGGTCCCCAAGAGCTGGTATTATGTGTGTGACTACCATGTCTTCCCCTTATGTGTAATTATCAAATAATAAACGTATTTAATTGTGGGCTAGAGGAATGGCTCAGGGTTTTAAAAGCATTGGCTGCTCTTCCAGAGGATCAGGGTTCCATTCCCAGCAACCAGATGGTGGCTTACAACTCTATAGTTTGTTGAGATTTTCTTCTGGCCCTGACTGGCTGTGCATGCACATGGTGTGTGTACAGACATACATGCAGGCAAAAACATGCATACACAAAATAAACAATGAAAAATAAATATACTTACTTAATTGTTCAACAAATGTTACACATAGGACACTAGCTTATGAGGACAATAAGAAATTATTAAATAGAGACCTTGTCTTATGGGAGTTTTTAAGAGCATGAAAATATTTCTGTTAATTTTTTTGGTGAGTGCTGGAGAGTAAACACAGAGTCTTGTGCATGTTAGGGAAGTACTCTACCTCAGAGCTACATCTGCAGTCCTCTATTAATTCTGAGTCCTAATTATTTCTAGGCTAAAATCAACTGAGAAAATCAACAGAGAAATAAAATCAACAGAGAAAATAAATAAAATTATATAATTCTAACATCCCTTTTTAAAAATTTTTCTAAATTGGTAAGATCTCACACAAAAGATGATAATTTTGTTGTAACATTTTACTAAGCTCAAGTAAAATAATTTCCAATTACAATACAATTATTTTCTGTATTCCCTTTCAATGAAATCACAAAATTGTAACTTGGATAGTTCCTAATATTTGACTCAAAATGTGTGTATATAATGGCTGAACTATGTGAATTTTGAGGTGCTTAAATTCATATAGATTTCACTATTTGTTTTAAACAAATTACCAATGCTGTAATTTGGCTCTTGCTTTAATTAAATGATAATATAATTACTCAACATACATTTCCTTTCTCATCACCATTATCTGCTTCTGTGCTTAACACTATGACAGTACTAAATCTAGGAAACCAGAGTGAGCTGCTAAAACAAGCAATACTCAAGCAGAAATGATTAAATTCTTAGTGTCTGTAAAAATATAGTTAGCTCAAGGAGCCTTAGAAATCTGAATGCCACGATGCTGTTTCTATTTATCATTTTAAAGTTTTTGGGGTATATTTATTTTTATGTGTATGAGTAGTTTGCCTGCATGTATGTTTGTGTACTGCATGCATGCCTAGTACCCAAGGAGCTCAGAAGAGGCGACTGAATCCCCTGGCAATGAAGTTCCAGAATACTGTGAATCACCATGTAGGTCTCAGATCCTCTGAAGAACAAGGGTTTTAACTGATGAGCCATCTCACAATTATCATATATGTATGTATGTATGTATGTATGTATGTATATATAATTGTTCTCATAATTATCATATATGTATATATGATAATGTGATATATACACACATATATATTTATATATAGTTCATAGGAAAAGATTTGTTAAGTTTGCCTTACATTGTGTGGGAGACTTTTAAAACACAATTTGAACAAAAGGAAACTCTCCCTCAATCCTTTCTCTTTTATTGCTCTAACAAGCTTGCTTTATTTATTTAGACACTGTTTTTTGAATCCCAGGCAAGCCTGGATCTTAGAGTCATAGACAATCTTGAATTTCTGATACTACCTCCAACTGCCCAATCACTTTAAAAATAATTACTTATTTAGTGTGCATGTATGTCCATGTGAGTGAGTAGCCACATATCATGGCACACTTGTGGAGGTCAGAGGGCAACTACTGGGAGCATGTTTTCTCCATCCACAATGTGGGTTCTGGGGATTGAACTCAGGTTATCAAGCTTGGCAGCAAGTATCTTTAACCTAATGTGATGAGCCATTTCCCTAGGCCCTGTAAATCTTACTTTTTAATCTTTTTTTCCCCCTTGTTTCTTCTTCATAGCTTTTGTTCTTGTGTTCCTGTTCCCTGCTATTATTTATTTATTTATTTTTACATTAAGTCACTAATGTAACACCCATCAGGGCATCATAACTAAATATTTTTCCCCTACTATGTTGTGAGTTACTGATGATAGAAATTATATTAATCTCAACACACATGCATAGCTTCCAGGAAGCGATCCTTAAATACTAGAATCCCACTTTTCATCAGAAATTTTGACAGTGTAGTGGTAGGGAAAAAGAGAGGTAAGTTATATCTTAACTACTATGCATTCATTTGAGTCCATTTTGTGTTGAAGACCACACTGAAATTACTTTTAAATAATTAAGACTTTTTTCAGGACTGAGAATTGAATCCAAGAGCACCATGCTTTCTTGGACAATACTCTGCCACTGAGTTATATCCCCAATTCTTTCTTATCTTGAGACAGAGTCTTGGTAAGTTGCATAGGTTGTCCTTGAACTTGAGATCCTTTGGCCTCATCCTCTGTAGCACCTGAGATTATAGGTGGGCATGATCAGTCCTGGTTTAATTTATACTATTTATTGTGGATATAGGAGGACTAATGTCTATAGTGGTAAAAAGAGGACAAATACTTATTGGGATATTGCCAAATACTATATGCCATATACTTACTAAAATGAATTTTATATAAATTATCTTACTTAGTTCTCAAAACAACTGTTGAAACAAAAATTTTACTAGCAATAACTAAAGATCAAAAGTGTTAGTTAACTTACTCAAGTGGCAGTAAGTAAGCACCACACCCAGGAATTCTAACTCCAAAGTCCAATTTCCTCCCACTGTGTAATTCTATTTCACAAAACTCAGTTCCCATTTGTTGATTCTTACTATGAACCAAGTGATAAGCATGATAGGCTTTATGAATTTGCTACTCTAATTTATCTTTATAGCAAATTAGCAAGCTAGAGACTATATTAGCTCATTTATATTAATGAACAGACTATAAACAATGGAGACTTTTTAGCTGCTATGTACTGAAGCAGATATTATCAGCTACATTTCTCTCACTTCAAAACTGTGATGTTTGATGACATAACACAGCTTCCTTTTAGACTTTTTGCAGGGATGAAATATGCTTTTGATTGACATCACACTAATCTCTTTTGTTCGGATTAAAAGATTTGCACATTCACTATTACTTAACACCTTGTGTAACTTCAAAAGATAGCCTGGATATTTGCTTCCCCTGGATATTTTGTTTTCTAAAATCCAGGATTTTAAAATTAAACATTATTTTTTATATGAAGCATAGGTTGGTACAAAAACCAAACAGCTATTATTTGGGGTTATTTGGAGAAGCTAGCACTGAAGTACAGACATCTATAGCTTCAACTGAAGAGTGCTCCTTTTCTTTGAGGAAAAAGCTGTCCTCATTCACTGAGCAGGCAGCTTTGCAAGGAACATGTAACAGTGTGAGGAGGGGGTACCTGTCTGGCTTGCCAGGTAAGCCAAATCAACTCTGGCTGATTAATGGAGTGAAAGATGCCAGAGCCAGATCACCTTCATATTCCATTGATTTGGTACTTTATTTTTGTTTCAGGGCAAGACATATACTAGCTGCCACCAGTAGGACGTTCTCATGGCCTGAGCATACTCAAGGTTTTTACTCCCAGAGCCCCCAAATCACCTGGCCCCATAAAACCAACCATAATCTAGATCCAGGATTGTGTGAATAAAAAGTCAGTTTAAAATACAAGCAGAATATAAAAAATGGTATTTTAATCTCTCACCACTGAGTTTAAAACATTGTTATATGTGAAAAGTTAAATTGTGCTTTGAAAATGTATAAGACTATCTGAATAGTCCTAATAATAAAACTTCGCAATTAATGTTACAATAGCATACCTAATGAAGGTTTTCACCATGTTCAGAACAGCTTATGAAACGCATACTCCACCTAAGAGGAAATCATAACTAAAAAATATATTATCTCCTAACTGAGGCACAAATGCTCCTTTATCCTGTATAATCTGGAATTGGAAATCCAATTCTCCTTTCCTTCATTCCTTTTCCCTATTTCTGTCTTTCACCTGTTTTTCCCATGTCTGTTTTCATCCCTTAGCCACACTGGGCTACTAAAAGATTTCAACAAATCTTTTCTGAATCTAACCTTTTCATGGTGTAAAATTCTCCCAACACATTCGCTCCTCAGTTTTTTCAGTTTAGGAATATTATATCAAGTGAATTGGTAAAAGGCGTAAGTTACTGTTAAAGTAAGAATCCAAGGACATTGTATGATATTAAATAGTGGATCT